GGAGAGAAGCAACCCATTGCGGAGAGAAGCAGCTCACTCCCGCTGACCATATGTCCTGAACTCAATTGAGTCAGTCTACAGTATGTTGAGAAGCACACTGGACTTTGGACCAGTCAGCGCTGACTGCTACAGTCCAGTGGTCATCAACGTGCTGCTCTACACTCTCAATAAACAGCACGGAATAATCTACATGACTGCTTCTCCATGTGTGGTGCGCCAGGCCCCGAAAAGCACAACGCGGTGTCGGCAAATATTTCCGAAAAAGCGGGGAAGCGGAGAAATAGGCGAAATTGCTCAAATCTGTGGGCATGCCAGCGTTTGATCCGTCTCGTGTTGTATGCGGAGAGGAGAGCTGGCACGCTCGGTATCCATGCCGCGGCGAGCGGAAGCCACAGGCACGCGCATATCCGACTTGCCGACACAAACTCAACCCTTTTGTTTGAAAGAAATTGATGAGCGGAAGCAACAAACACATGTGGATATCTCTACAGCAGTCAGGCTGTTCGCGTACATGTGGTGCAAGCATGATTTACCTGCCGATCCAAGACATCTTGGTTCTGGCTGAGGAACCATTCGCAGCTGGCGTGATCTGTCAAGAACGTGACAGCGAGACCCGGATGCCCCTTGAACACCGATGCGCCGCCGTTGGCCTCGATGAGGCCGTTGAAGTACTGCCCTTCCCTCGCCGCCCATGCCTTCGCCTCGGATAGTGGAGACAAGCTATGAAACGGGTGGTGAACGCCGGTAGGCTCGAGAAGACCTGGTTCGGCAGCTGTTTCGGCCGTCTTGACTCTGTGGTGGGGAGATGTCGTGGGAATCGGCGGCGCTGCCGTCGAAGCTTGCAGCAACGGGCAGTTGGAAGAAGCAGCGCCTACACGCGGCTTGGGGGAGGTGGAGACGTTGCGCGCGGTAAGTGCCGATGCCGCGAGAAGCAGACCACCACCAAGGAGTACCAAAAAGAGCGGCCGCTGCAGCGGCCGTGAGCGGTTGTTGTTGTTGTTAGGCATCTTTCGCTGCGTCTTTCGGTCTCGTCGGAGGGGGAGAAAGCAGAATGGAAGGGGTGGAAGGGTGAGCGAAGAGGGAATGGGGTCGATGTGCGACGTGTGGGGTGTGCGGTTGTCGGGAATGAAGGGTTGTCCGCGTGGGCGGTGTGGTAACCACGAGCTCTCGGGAGATTTTTAGTCAACCTCACCACAGTTTCCGAGAATATTCCAGGAGCACACGAACGCACCCTCCACCATGAAATACCGCAGTAGAGATTATTTCCTCGTCGCCCTCTTCTCCCCTCACTCGGCTACCGTCTTGCTAGGACTCCCTACCGTAGCTCTCTTTGATGCGGCGAATGCCACTCTGCAGGGGGACAAGCACCGAAACGTCTAAACGCATCGTACCGGCCGCCATCGGAGAGACCACACAAAAAACTGACAGTCCAGTGCTGAAAAATCCCGCCGACAGATCTCCCGAACCCACCCTTCTGGGCGTGTTCACCATAGGAGCAAGCGTCAATGTGAGTTACATTCGGTCTTTCCTCTTCACCTGCCGCCGTCCTGTCGATGGTATCTTGCTACCGGGGGGGGTCTCTCAGCGAAGTCCGTACTAATATGATGATATCCCTGCGCCTGTGACCCCAAGGGTTCTGCTGGGATTTTCTTTTGATCAGAAAAGGAGCAAGCAACGTTCTGAATCCCGTGCAAATATATAGACCAGTGTTCCGATTTGTGTTCAACCACGAAGAAGACGGGACGTGGGTGTGGGTGTGTGTGCAGAACGTTTTGTGTGGCTTCCTGTGGCCGTTATGTCTGCCAGGGAGTGTGGATTGCCTGCAGCGTGAAGCTTCGAGCGTGGCAGTGTAAAGTTTCGCCAGCGGCTTGGCTACTCCGAATGGGGCGATGCTCCATTGCAAAGCTTGAGGACGCCAAATCCAGCCGAGCCCCCCTCCCTGCATAACTAGGACTCGCTTTCTCATATCATGTCCGACTCCGAGCCCGGTGAATCAATACTCAGAAATCACTTGTCGTTGTGGGGCGCACGTATAGAGACAAAACGGTCCTTTGCCCAACTTCACAGCTCTCAAATGTATGAAGGGAGAGGGGGTTGGGCAGACAATTTTCTGTTCAGGGGGAAAAAGCGCCGTCCGTACAACGTAACGGCCGTAAGTTACTCTGTAGCGGTGTTAAGGTTTGCGAGGTCACGCACTAGACGACTGGGGCGGCCGACGTGCTCGTAGCCACTCGAAAAAAAAAAAGAAGAGCCAGAAGCTGACATTTTTTTAATGTTGTGCGCGGTTTGCACTCCCAAATCCCCACACGCTACAATCACACATTTTGTGTCGGGGCACAAACATAACGTTCACAGTTCACAACGGTATTATTTTCGTTTGCTTTCGATGCTCAAGGTTCAACAACACTGAAACCCAGTTCGCAACCCTACCAAGAACCAAAGCTCTTCTTGTACAGTAGAGGTACCAAGGGTACGAAGAATATGCGTAGGAACATGTGGCGAAAATCTCCCTGCAGGTGGAGATGCAACTTCCGAAGGTACAACTAACGCGAAGGCGGTGAGGTTTGAACCACACCTCCCCCCCCCTCTGCAGCTACGGCCCTCCATAGTTCAGTCTTCCAACAGCAGCAAGGCAACAACAGCGCACGCAATGCCTCTCGCTTGCCGAGTTAACAAACAAGCAAGAGCCTGCGTTGATCGACAAACGCGGGTCCTGTGCATCTCGGATCCGGCTTGTGCGGTTGTGGCGATGTCGGTGCGACCAGCGGCGATGGCGCCAGTCCCGTCTTCAACGGCGGCGGGAGCTTCAGCAGCTACCGTAGCGACAGCGGGTATTCTTCTCTGCTGAGCAGCGCCCAGGGCGAGGGCGGACCGCGCTTGGGAATCGATGCGTACAACATGGGGACGACCCACCTCACAGCACGACTGTTCACACGGCGCAGTCGGTTTGCCTCGAAACGGCTCTCATCCCTCGGCTAAAGTTTCCACCAAAAAAGCGGCCGTGGCGCCATCTAACTCAATACAAGCCTTCATCACACTTGGTAATGAACCGACCAGTATTAGCCGCCCTCGAAGGAATACCGTAATTGCATTGCCGGGAACCCTTCTCAACAACAAAAAAGCGAAAAATGTTCACTTGCAGTACAACACTTTATGGGAAGAAAAAATCTGAGAGAGAACAAGATAAGTCCATGCGGCAAACCTCAGAACAACCTTCTTTGCCGACCGTGGCCGGATAGACGGTACATGCTTCACTCTAGCCCCTCCGCCTCGTAACGTAACTCCTCTAGCAACTCCGATACCGCGGCTGCCTCCCCCTCGGCACGCCGCAACAAGTCGCCCACGGCGTCGCTCAGCAAGCGGTCTTGGGAAGGGGACGCTGCCCCCGCGTCCCCTTGTCCTCCGGAGTGCACCGACATGCCCGGCCCCATGCCTAGCGCGCGGGCTTCTCGCATAGACTCCAGGTGGTGTGCCGCAGTCTGGGGGGCATCGACAGAATCGGGAAACGCTTAAAAGAGAGTGAAACGGCCGCGGGTATGGAGTATGCCAGAAGGAACGGCAATGTTTCACACGCCCTGTACAACACCGCAAACAAATTCAAGTATTTTACGCTGGGATATCTCTCTGTATGTGGTACCCGCTAGTTGATTTGTAAACAACTGGTCGCCCACGATTCTGAGCCAGTGTTTGGCTGCAACCAACTGCTGATCGAGATTGAGAGCCAGCAGTTGGTCGGCAAAACAAATACGACAAAAAACAGTTGTACAGGGTGTGGACCGTTTCACCCGCGGAGAGGCTAAAGCATGTTTTGGGAAAAAGAGGGAGACCTGCGCGATGCGTTCATTTTTTGCCGAGGGGCGAAGAAGAACCTTCTCCTGTATTGGGAGACACATACGTTCTGAAAGCGCAGTTCCGACTAGAACTGACCGGACGGCGGCGTACAGGGCAGGGGGGGATAACTCATGTTTTTGCATGCCGTAGTTCTTTGACCATTGACCCCGATGGGGGAAGGGGGGCACGTGATCGGCACCGGACCGAGCCAAAAGTCCCTCGGAAACCCAAACCGCCACACGGCACAACGGAAAAGTTTTTTTTTTTCCCTACATGGCGCGAGAGGGTTGTTGCGTCTGCGGTGAAAAAAATAAATGTCTACACCATAGAGTCCGTCGCGCACCCCCCCACCACTTTGAGGTAGTGTTTACGCACTGCCCTGCCACAGACAGCGAAACGTTCCATCCATTCGAAATCCCATCCGTGCGCCCACCACGGAAATACTCGGAGCATTGGCTACAATAGGCCGTGTCCATGCGACCTGGCATGTCCTTGTACATTTCAAGCGCTACAACACATAAAAAAAAACTCCTCGGAAAAACACCCAATATGTGAACCAGGTACCGTCACTACTGTTGTTGTCGTGCCCCGACGTGACATTCTTGAGTTTGTTAAGGTCGTCTGAGGTTTGGCCTCTCATAGTGAACCAGGCACTTGTCACTACTGTCGATACCGTGCCCTGACGTGACATTCTTGAGTATGATAAGGTCTTAAATTTGGCCTCTCACCACCGTCAACTTCTCGCGCTCGTGCTCCTGCACCCGGCGGATGATGCCTGCCAACGCTTTCGTCTCGCTGTCTTTCCCCAGCGTGGCCTGTAGCGGCGACGCCAGCACAAACACAAAAACAAGTCAACCAACGAGACGCGAAAAACGCGAAAACATGCAGAGGGGGTCGCTGTTCGGTGCCGGCATTTGCCCAGAAAATTCACTGGCAATACACCGGACCGGCACTATCCAAAGTACTGACAATGACTTGGAAATTCTTGTGTGCCCGACGAAAACACCAGCACTATACCGGGCATTGGCACTATTCAACTGGCACTAAACAGGGACCCCCTCTGCATACAATTGAGAAGGGTGCGGCGGGGAGGGCGGGGCACTTTGTCGTTCCGCAGAAAGCCTTATCTTGAAACGAGTAGAAACGCCTCCTGTGATTGGGTTTCAGCAACCTGTCTTTTGACTTTTGTTGGGAGGGGGGGTCATGGCCAGCCAAAGTGTATTCAGTTCGTTTTTCGGAGGCTCATGGTCAGCTGTAGATGCCCTGTCCTCCCCCCCTACCCCTTGCGGGGTAGATGCTGCTATGCAGGCGTGCCAGTCACCTCGATAGCGTTGATGGCTTTGCTCAGGACGGAGAACCCTGCCGTCACCTCGCAACCTGAGGGAAAAAAAGAACGGTGTGTGGGATGTAGGGATATAGGGGGGGAAGGGCGTCTTAGCTGGCAATGAACATCCGAACAAAAACATTATTCCGGAGGTATCTACTGGGTAGAGAGCGAGATCAGAATGTCTCTACAACTCCGTGCAAGATTCCTTGCGTAAAGAAACAGACAGGATACAGCCGGTCGAAAATTCCCCGTAACCTATAGAGAGGGGGCTCCAATCGCTGGGAAAAAGCTTGGTACGGAGAAAACGAAAGTGAGTGAGGCACATCAGTGGTGATCCAGGCAGAGGTGCGCCCTGGCGCGGGGGCGGCGTCGTTGGGGAAAGCCACAGCAGGACAGGAGCGACCACGAAACTCCCTATCCTTGCTACATACGTATCGTCAGCAGGAAATTGCCCGCGGGGCACGCTCTCCAATTCGAGATGTTGTTTTTCCTGTGATTCGCAGGCTTTTCGGTTCAGGGTTCCAGAGAACGACATCATCTACAGTACCGTAAGAGTCGGAGAGATGGCACCGGGTGCGATCGCTTTTCAAAATGGATTTCTTGGTGGTATTTGTCGCACCCCGGTGCGATATCTCCGACCGGTGCGATGCCCAACGAAACACACACAGCGGCCTTTACTATTGTATTGCTACGATCACCATGTGTAAAATGTACACACATGTACCTCTTTTCGGCAGCTCAAAGAGAGATCAATCTTGGATTTGAGGGTCAGAGAGGTCGGTGAGATCGCACCGGGAGCGGTCGCACCGACCCCGGTGCGGAAAAACAATTCAATCCGCCACTCTTGTTTTCTTTTCGCATCCCGGTTCCATCTCTTCGACCGGTGCCATCCCTCCGACCGGTGCTATCTGTCCGACCGGTGCCATCCCGCCGACCCGTGCCATCTCTCTGACCCATGCCATCTCTCTGACCCGTGCCATCTCTCCGACCCGGGCCATCTCTCCGACCCGTGCCATCTCTCCGACCCGTGCCGGTACCCTCGTAGTGCACAACGCACCTCTGCACGGCTTCTATGTGATGCTGAAAGGCAAAGAGTCGAGGCTCCGCCTAGCATAAACGAAAGACACCACCGAAATGGCCATGTACAGCGGTACGTTGATTCTTCTTCCCGTCGTGGGGGCAAGAATCATGCATGCAACCGATGCGCTCGGACAATGGCTCCCAAGTTCCAGGCATCAACTTTGGACACGAGCAACTCGCAGTCGTCGTTAAAGAACTCTACAGGATATTAAATCAGCCAAATGCTCGGTCTCACATAATGCCGGGTACCCGGAGTAGTCCCCAATTCGCAATGCCTCCTTCAGACCCCTGCGTCGAGAAGTCGACCGTTGTAACAGAGGTTGATAGTGTTGTTAGTGCTGCCGTTGTTGTTGGATAATGATGAAGTTGGTAGTTGTTTTCTGCTTACCTAATGTGCCCCCCCCCGCCCCCCCCTGCGCTGTTGTGTTCGTTTCGAAAGAGAGCAGCGGTAGCTATTCACGCACCAACAGGTCGCAGTTGGTGTGTGCCCCTACACACCGATCACCCCGTCCTTACCCGTTAAATTTCCGGTACAGGGCCACTCGCTCCTCCTGAGCGCGCCTAAACGATGCCACCAACGCTCCCGCAGACATGCCTTGGAGGCCCTGTAGCCCGCCCCCTTCCTCCTCCTGCCCGGCAGCAGCGGTGGGTAGGTTAAGCCCCAGATCTCTGGCGCCGGCTTCACCGCCGCCGCCGCCTCTTTGTGCACCCGACCCTGCTTCGCCGCCCGCGTTGCATGAGTGTCCGGCTCCGCCGTCGCTGTTGGCATACGGAGCGGCGCTTGTTGGTGACGCTGCTGTTTTTTCTGCTGCACACCGCCCCCAGAAGGTAGAGTGAGCAGCAACAGCAGCGGCAGCAGCAGCAGCAGCAAGAGGAGGGATGGGACCAACAACAGACAACGAAACAAGCCGCGCGCCGTGTCAGCGTCGTCAACAGCAGCGGGGGCAGCAGAAGCAGAAGCAACATGCATGCGGACCCCCACAAGAACGGCGAAGGGTACGATAATAGTACGCGAGACGAAACTGCCACACACGGCCGGATAGGTCTGTCGAACCCAAACACCCTGCCTTTGCCGACAACTCTTTCTTGCCGCCACCGCCGTCGCCCCTCTGTACTTTCCTCTCCCACCACCCCCTTCACCTGCGATCTACAGTATCGCCTCCATCGTTATATCGCGCGTCGTACACACTCTCATCCATTTCACAAAAGGCCTTGTTCTGTGGCACTCACGAGCGTCTCCGCAGGGCCCCGCAGCCGTCTTCGACGGACAACAACCGGCACCAGCAGCGGCGGAAGAAGGAGGGCCGGTAGCCATCGCCGCCATCAGCCCCGATGCCGCCTCGGTAGCCGCGCGCGTCTCGTTGGACCCGGTGGCAAGGTTTATCACCTGTCCGCGGCCGCCAGCGTTCTCACCCCCTGTGCCTGCGGCCTCCGCTTGGGATGGCGTGGTTGGACCTACCGAAACAGTGGTCCAGGAATGGTTCAGATTTTTTGCAGCGGGGGGCAAGCGTGATTATACCATTTTTTTCTTTTTTTCGCTACCAGGTTTCTTTTTTTACATGTATGCTCTGCGTGCTTCCGTCCTACAATTTCTTGCTTGCTTGATAGCTCAGCCATCCGGTAGTGTTGGTACTGCCGCGTAGAAAAAGATAGCGACGTAAGCATGTGCACAAGCATAGCGTGGGTCGCATGAGATGCCACCCCCCCTGGATCGAATTTCAAAGCTCGATTGCTCCACGACGTATCAATGGGAACGTGTCCAGACCACGCACTTCATCCTCGAACCTTGAACCACTGCGAGACAACCGAAGAACCTCGAACCTCGAACCTAGAACCATGGCATAGTACACGCCATGGACCGTGTGTGTTAGCTCGATTTCTCCCCAGCAGAAAGAGTGGCAGCGCGCCGAAAATGGCGGTGTTGAAGCCGTCTCATCTAGAGATGTTTCCGAAAACGTATCGTTTTCATTTTTGCATCCTCTTCGTCGTCGAGTTGTCGAGCTTCAAGATCGGTCCAGGGGGTGTGGTATCTTGTGTCACCGTCGGTGTCCTTGATAGACTAGTGTTTTGGGACCGCTTGCGTGTTCAATGCCTCCCTCGTCTTGCGGTTTGGTAACGACCCAATTGGCCACCCGCAAGAGCATATGCTGCGGAAGCGAAGAGCACCGCCAGCCAGGGGACAAGCTGCGGAATCTTCTACATAATAGAACTTCTTACAGCGCCTGACTACATAAATGTTCTCTAGCGAGGTGAGACGGCAAAGTTCGAGCGTCAATTCCACACCGCGAACGGCACGCAGTCATCTTTCCGGGTGACAAGATAATAAGCAGCCCATCCCATATTTTGGCTTTGGCCGTGGCTTGTTTAACTTTTCTACCAGAGCTATTGTATCAGACGCGTTTGTGCGCGCTCCCTCTGGGAATCTGCGGAAGCCTGCGGCGGAAACGAAAGCTGACAGTCCTGCCTCCAAAAAAAAAAGTTGTTGTTGGCCGCCTAGCACACCTGCTGCATGCCCGTGGTGGTGAGCACCGTGCAAGCCACTGCACATCCCACGGTTCCCAAGGATCTCCAAGCACTTCGCAGGGTCCATGACTGATGCTCCCCCTTCTGAGATGGGTAGTCTGGCTGCTGCTGCCATGGGCACGGAGAACGGAGCTGAGAGCAGTCCAGCAGAACGCCGCGGTGTGTGGAACTCCAATTTGTAACGGCCAAAAGTGGGTCTTGCAACACTGGCGACGGCACGAGATGGCGCATAGGCGACCGGGCACTGTTAGCCGCCCTTGGCCCGTGTTTGAAGTCAACCCCTGCTGGAACCTGTTGGAACAGGGAGGAAACTTCATTGACGGCACCCATAGGCACTAACTACCAGATAGTCCGGGCACGGAAGGGGCAAGGTGGACGGTTTTCGTCGACAGACAACCGGGCGGCAGTACCCGGGTGTCGCCGGCCGACAGGCACAGGCTAGTCCATGGCGGTGGGTGTCAACATATAGTCTTGTGACCTGCCACGTGGCCTAGGGAATACATATGTTCCTGCGTGCGTACAGAATGAACAAGATATGAGACAGAGCGAGAATTGTGTCTTGTCCTGCACCAGCATTTTATTCAACAAGAGCACCGGCGTGGTTTCCTCCGCAAACACCTACAAGTACCTGCTGTGAGCTACAAAAAATATATGCGGAGCTACAGAAAAATAGTGTGGATATGTGTCGATGTTCGAAAATTCCCTATATCGTAGGTAGCTTCGTGAGCCGCAAACGTTTTTCATTCTGTCTGCACCAGAAGAGCTGGTCTGGTTTGGCTCTTTCACAATTTTCTGATAGCATCGAGAGGTGGTGCGGTGATGTACTCCACTAGCAGCAGGAGAACCTTTCTACTACTGTGCATCCCCGGCAAAAAAATGATAACCATGTTTAGCATGGTGGGGATTTCTCGGTCTGGTTGAGCTACTCCAATAATCACCTTGCTGCCTCGAACAGCGATCGCGCCATGCTCTTGTCAATGCACAACAAACTGAAGCTCCCACAGTATATATCTCAGGACTCATCATTTTTCTGCCAAATACGCGATACAGCGGCAGCGGCAGTCCCAATCGCCCATTGCACGCCCCCACGTTGCATTGTTCCGCAGTCTCAGCAGGTTAATGAGGTGGAGGAGGTTATCAAGGAGCTCAAAACCAATCCGGGGTTCTCGGCGTACGTCATCATGAACAACGACGGTGAGCGAGAGGTGAAGCGAGTGAGACTAGCCGATCATCAAAGTCGTGTCAGCGCTTGATTCTCTGGTTGGAGGATGGCCTGCGGGGGCGGATCAGATTCATGCACAAAGCATTATAGCGTGCTTGTCTTAGACCGGATTCACGTTGAAAATTTATGCTGTGGGGCTGGGCGGGGTAAGTCGCGGCTGCGTTGAGAAGGCACACCCGGTCGATTCATCGAAGCGCGAGTAGGACATGTGCGACGTGTAAATAGTGAGTGCATGTAACATTTGCTTTCTGGAGGCGAGGATTGCTATGCTTGTCGACAAACTAGAAACCGGGACGTTGGATTCGGTACTGCACGCAGTCAGACGGCAAAGGACTGAAAATGTACTCTTTCGAAGCTCTCCTCGACTACAGTACACGTCAGAGAGGAACCTAACCCCTAGTTGTTAATTGTGGACACCGGACAACAGTACACATCAGAGCTACTGCATTTGCTAATTTTGGACACCGGCGCGGCTTGCATATTTTCGCTTCCGAGGCTCCCCGCTCCCGTTGCCGTCCTTAACCTGTGTCCCAGACCAATGACAGGACTTACGAGGTCTACTAATCACAACACGTACGTGTGCATGCTGTTTTACGCTCATTCGTCCGGTGCTCTACACAAACAATCAAATCAATTTTCAGCCCTCCCCCTCGATGTGTCGTCGACAGGGAGAAAGACAATAGACCATACACACAGCCATCATGAATGTGTGTGTGTGTGTGTGTGTGTGTGTGTGTGTGTGTGTGTGTATTTTTGTTTTGCGTTTCGTTTTGGATTTTTTTTTTCAGTTTTGGGGACGCAATATCTATCCGTCTTCACTGGGACCAAGCGCCAAGGTTCGTTTTCGAGGTACAGTGGTCTGGAAGATCATCTTGTGAGTCCCTTCGGACCAGTGCCGTTGTTTCCCCACCCGCGGCACGATGCGTTCCTCACCATGCAAGCCGGTTTCCACCTTCACTGCAACCTCGCGGAGCAGGGGGACACGGCACGAGGTCCTTGCAGTGTGTCGGTCCTACATAACCTCGAAGTCGCCTCCGCCACTTTTCAATGAAAAATGACGCCGCTTGCAGGGATTGTGATCAAGTACGAGAGCATGGAGTACCGAGCGGCCGTGCACCACGCGGCGTTGGTGCTTGACCTCGCCAGCAAATCGAAGAAGTACATGCGAGAACTCTTCGAGCCACCGGACGTGAGATTTTTTGCTCTGCACGCACATTTTTCGCTTGCCCTGTTCGCTCAACACTTGGTATGTGGCTACCGGCCTCATCGTCTTGCTTCACAACGAGTTCCGCCGCAAGTGCTGGGAAGCTGTAGTTCCTTGTGCGCTGCTGCTATGCTACGTTTGGCGCAGCCGTGAGTTTCCCTGAACCTGCGATGACAGACAACGGCCAAGCCAGCAATAACGAATGCCTTGCTCGCAAAAGGCTGCTCTGACATCAAGAGAGGAGTCGGAATGTAGCGTTGAAAACTACATGAAATAACAGCCAGCCTTCGTTTCCTAGGTGCTTTCAGCTGTTAGCATTGAAAAGCAGACAAGCTAATATTGTCTATATAGGCCCTCATCCACCTCTTGTTTTCCTGTATGTTCTCCTCGCTTCCACCTGATCTCTTTTCCACGCGCGCAGCTTTCCGCTCCCTCTCAAACGCACAACTCCCCTCCTTCTCTCTGTCTCTGTCTCTGCCTCTGTCTCTCTCTCTTTCGCACACCACGCGCGAATGGTTTTTCGTCCGCCCATCCCCCGCGGATACACACACCCGTAGAACGACGTGGAATCATTGCGGCTGAGAACAGGGGAGCACGAGATGATCATCGCCTTACATGAGAGTTTCACCCTGGTAGTCGTTCAACAGGTATGATGGGAACATGGGGGAGACGGAATAGGAGGCAACACCACCTATACCACAACAAAGTGGCCATCCCTGCTGCGACATCGTGTTTCGATTAAGACAAATACCAGGCCAATATTATGTACAAAGAAATGTAGCTGGCTAAAATTTCCGTGCCAGAATTTACCACGCACGCGAGGAGAGATGACCCTCTCCACGAGGAAGAAGCACGTGCGTCTGTTTCGACTTTGCTCCTCTCGGAGCCTTCGCGGCACTTGCGTCAAAGTTCCCACAAATTTCACCCCCATCAGAATCCAGAAACGATATCGACGCTGGCACGCAATCGCATGGCTCACCAAAATCACGGAAATCAGCGAATATGGCAGGATAGACGAAAGGCACGCATGGCATTGGAAAAAAAAAAAACTGGATAATCAGGGGTGAAGTAGTCAGTGACCCCTTTTAGAGCGAAACGGGGTGGGGAGTTCCATCGAATATCTTTGAGAGCAGAGATTTACAGCCAGCGTTGGACAGCGTAAGAAGAAACTACATAGCCCAACCAGTGGGCGAGTACCCCCCTACCTCGCCAATACTCCCGTCTACAGGACCCCAACTCCAACAAGAAGGTGGAGGAAGAGGAAGAGGGCGCCGAAGGAGAGGAGGAGAAGAAAGACTAGGGCCGACGAGGGCAAACCTCGAACCGCTACAGCAGGAAGCAGTGGAAGGCGACACCCTGTTTTTCCACCAAAAGGGAGTCAACCAGCTTGGATCGCGTTGTGAGCGACAGCGACGCCTAGGATTGTAAATACCCCTCAGGGTATTAAGGCGAATTTGGCCACAGGCATTGCGTTGGTTCATTGCACGTACCCTTGGCTTGGCTTTGCTTGAGGCTCTCGTTGTCGTGACGAAGGCCCGGCATTAACCGCACGGTTCTTTTCGATAATTCGCCTGGACGGAAGTGCTGGGCAAACCGTCGTGTTGGTAGATAAGTTGGAACTGGGGTGATCCTCTGACCCTTTTCTCCATGATGACAGATGAAGCGGGTAAACTTCTTGCCTGCCCGCCCAGGCCATGTGCGGCAAGTCCGATCTCCCATTTTTCTTCCTACCGTAGCATCATTGGTCTATCGAGGGGGCGCTATTCACCATCTTCCTCGCACTTCCTGGCAAGACGGAGTTGACCGCAACTGGCGGGAGGAACACAAGTGATGGGGCGGGGGCGGGAATGGGGATGCTACTCGTTGGTTCTCCATCTCGTCATTCATATGATGAGCGTTGACCATGTGCCATTCCTTCGGGGAAAGCTGCCCCCGTTCTCCTGTAAGTCTTTGAGATAGTGTACAGAAGCCGTGAACGTTTGGACGTTCTCGACATTCACCCCAGTTCACAGGACAGTGGGGCCCACGTCGACAAAGGGGGCCGAGATGATCCTCTGAAGCATCTGCGTGCACCGCGCGCGCTTGCGCGTCCTCTCGTCTACTTGTTTGGCAGGGGGGGGGCTTCTTTCGAAACGCCTACAAAGGCTTTTGGTTATGAAATTGCTCTTCTTGTGTGGGGAGGCCAGTACAAAGTTAAGGGAGTCAGCACGGCGGGGTGCTGAAGCCGTACTCAGTGAAATGCTCTCGGTGGTTCGTCGGTGGTCGTGGTGATGATGATAGTGATGGCGGTGGTGGCGGTGTATTGTGTGTGGTTGCTGCTGCTGTCCGAGAAAAATACTCCCGGGAAAAATCGCTTTTCAACACGTACATCGCATTCTGTTCACTCCTGACAGAAATTCCAACCCGCTACCTTCTTGGAGGAGGACTACGGGGCCAAGGTCCCCCACAAAACCGTCCGACGAAATCCTGATCAATAATGTTGATTCGCCGAGGCTTTCTCTTCGCGGAACGCGTCCCGAGGAAAGAGAAACGGTCTCCGTGGCAAATTTTCAGGGGACACAGATCATGAAAAGGCAGATTTTATGTCATCAACAGCACCATCACGAAACGGACGTCGTGAGCACCACAGCCCACACGCCCTTTGTCGTACAAACACGCCCCGACAGTTTAACAAAGACGGCCAATAGACAACACACCCAATCGGGCCGTGAGGTTTCTGCCTTTGCGAGAGAGTACTCCCATCTTGGCGAGTCGTATCCCGCGCTTGTCCTGTTCTCTGCTCCATGACCGCGAAGAAAAGCGGTGGACCGTCCCAACCCTGCCCAGATAAACACTGTGTCCGGCTCACACGTGCTGGAGACCTTACGAATCCACGGTCATGGTATCGGGCTCGTCACAGCATGGCCCCCTGGAAACATGAGTACGCCCCCCTTTCCTCGAAACGAGACTCCCCATGGCTAAGACAACGGAGGTGGACGTAGACACCAGAAGGCGAGCAAGGGAAACACGGGGGCGCCTGGTGTCCACACAGTGCACACAAGAAAACGGGAGAGGACACACGGAAACAAGCACAAAAACAAATCGCCTCAATGGATATCATGCCGGAAGCGAAACGAGACCGCTGTGCATAGCACACCACACCTCTTAATACATGCGTGATTTCATATCACATACCGTCAGGCAAACAACAAACACCCCCCAAGCTCTAACCCTAACCCTAACCTCTAACCGCTAAGGCAACACAAACCATGAGTACACCCCCCCCCGCTACATGCCGGAGAATCGCAACGCCCCGCTGAAGGTATGCAAGAAGCTAGGCATCGCTACTTGTGGTACACGGAGGCACTATAGGCAGAGGGTGGCACCCAATGGAGAGTGCTTAGGCGGCGTCGGAGATACCGGAGATCTCCTCTCCGCCGGTGCCCGCGCACCACGCTCCCTTCGTGGGGAGGCCGCTAGCGATGGCTTTCCTGTTGCGCCTTCCCGTGGCGCAAACGTGGGCAGCCCCGGCGGCAATCTGTTCGGCAGGGGTGGACAAGCACCCAAGAACGACGAAATATTTAGCTCGGGAGCCAGAACAACACAAAAAGGACGTATTTTATGCCGGGCTCACGAATCCCTGCAGTGGTCTAAACGTCAGGAACGGCACGCCGGAGGTATCACACAAGGCGAACCAAAAACCATTCCTGATGCTGGAAAGTCGTCCATCCCTGATGCTGGAAACTCCGAGGCAGAGGATTTTAAGGTGATTCTGCCCACGACCATACACGGTTGGATCTCACTTTTGGCCACAACAATGATGAGCAGGAAAGAGTGCAAGTTTCCGAGTTGACACGCCCGTACTCTTCGACAGCGCCATCCCCCTGTGGAGAAACTCTACTTAGAAAAAACACGTAGTTGTATCATCACCGAAATACAAACTGTTGGAGAAAACATCACGGTCGAAGGGAACGTGATGGAAGTCTTTCCAGCGAGTGGAGGAGAAAACCTGCGGGGGCCTGGGTTTAATGAGTTGTTTTTTCTACTATACACTGAGGTATCGAACCTTGCAGAATACTCTCGCTACTATTGACCTACCTACCCGCGGTGAAGAAAACGAGCAGCGTTTGTACCAGGCATGACGAAAACCCAAAACACCACCACACGCCTTCCGCAGGCATTAAGTTCGGTACGAGACCAGTCCCTTGCAGATAGGAGGAGAGCCTCTCGAGAGAGGCACAAAAGACAAGCACACGAGGACACACCAAAAACCTACACGACGCCTCCCTCCTACCCGAATGTCTAGCGGTGATCGGTCCTGTGGGAACAATGCACTTCCTCTCCAGGACGCGTGGTCAACGGCCCAACAAACCAAGGCGTTCAAAACACGTCTTCTTGAGGACGCTTGCGCAATGGTCTAAGCAACCATGACTGCAAAACATGTCTTCTTGAGGACGCTTGTTCAATGGTCTGACAACCATGTCTTCTTCAGGCCGCTTGCTCAAAGGTCTAACAAACATGGCATGCAAAACACGAGTGAGGACGCCCCGATCCACTCACGCTGAAAGTCTTGATGGACCGGAAGCCCGTCGGGGGCTCGACGGGGATGCTCTCCACGATAGCGGCCGGATCGCCTTCGGTCGGACCCCACTTGATTAGCTCCTTCGTGTCCTTCACCAGGCCGTACGAGAAGGCGCCCCCGGCCTCGAGCCTCGCGAACTGCGTGTTAGCGTACTCCTGATGCAGAATGAAAATCGTGTGTGTGTGTGTGTGTGTGTTTGTGTGTGTGCTTTTGTTGGCATCGCCTACCAATGAAAAATACGTTAGTCTCGGTGCGGCTGAAAGCGGACGACGCTTCTTAAGGCCACCATGGTCTGGGGGGGGGCGTGAGGGGGCGTCACAGGTATGTGTGTGTTTCCTATACGTTGTTTGTGATATTAGCATCGACCGCGCTAACCGGTTGACCAATGAAAAGACGTCAGTCTAGTGCGGTTGGAAACACAAAACGCTTCCAAATGACATTAACTGGGACCCTGTGAGGGGGCGGCATGGGGGAGACTATGTGTTTGTTGTTGGCATCGACCGCGCTGCCCAATTAAATAGACATAATGCGGCTGAAGGTGGACGTCGCTTCTGAAGGCTGCCATGATCTGGGGGACCCGTGCGGGGGCAGGCGACATGGGGTGTGTTTGGTGTGTGTGGTGTTGGCGTCGACCGCGCGTATGAATGAAAAAATGGTCCGGCTGAAATCGGACGGCGCTTCTAAAGGCTATCATGATCTGGGGGGCCCGTGAGGGGGCGTCACAGGTATGTGTGTGTGTGTGTGTTTATTATTAGCATCGACCGCGCGAACCGGCTGACCAATGAAAACACGTCAGTCTTAGTGCGGTTGAAAACACAACACACCACTTCTATCTGCCATGAACTGGGACCCCGTGAGGGGGGAGCATGGGGGAGGCTAAACTATCCTTCGGATCAAAGACAGAAACGGTGGCAACCGAAGAAACCTGCACGCGTCTACCAAGGCCATTACCTGTGTGTGTGTATGTGTGTGTTTTATTATGTAAAATTAGCATCGACCGCGCTAACCGACGAACCAAATGTGAAGATAGGTGTCTCAGGGCGGCTGACAACAAGTATGAGTCTTTGGTGGTAGCATCTACCGCGCGAACCGGCTGAGCAACTAAATGCGTCTAAGCGCGTTTACGGTATTTACCCGAAGACGGCAGTCGATTTTTGTCGCCCTCCAGTTCCGGATGCGGCCCGCGATACACAAAACATCAACAATAAACGGCCATGAGCGACCAGAAACTACCAATGCAACCACGAGGAGGAAAAAAAATAAAAATGCACCAAATCGACGGCGTCAAGTGATGCATCAGTACGGACAGATGAAGGAACTGGGCAGAGAGATCGGAACGGTTTTTAACGTGAAGAAAACAACAACAACAACAACAATAACAACAACAACAACAACGACTAGCCAACGACTATTACCACCACACCAACAACATTGATGTCAAGAGGAAAGCACCTCTTTCGCCAATAGGCCCATGTCTCACCTCCGGGAGCATAGCCTGGGGCACCTCGCCGACGCAGTAGCCGGTGCGGTCCGACATGAGGATGCCGCAAGTGGCAAGTCCTGCGCACGGCAATAGCAGACAACGACGGTGGCAAATGTAGCCAAGCAAGAGCGTCGCACTCTTCTCCTTGTTGTTGTTGTTGTTGTTGTTGTTGTTGTTGTTGATGGGCATAGGAGCAGCCGCAGCAGCAGTTACAGTCAAGCAAGGGTGGTGCACCCTTCTACTGTCGTTGTCGTTGCTATTGTTGTTGTTGTTGTTTACGGCCATAGGAGCAGCCGTAGAAAACAGTTACAGTCAGGCAAGGGCAGTGCACTCTTCTCCTTGTCGTCGTTGTTGTCTTCGGACGGGCTCTCTCGTACATAGCTCCGCCAAACTTCGTCGCCACCCGCCACACGAACCGATGGCTGAACCGTGCGCCCCGGGAAAACTCTTCCATCCAACTCAAACGGCGTGCGTCCCGTGACTCGTACGCGATGTAACGACAACGCGGCGAGGCCTGACGATCGCAAACACCGCAACACGTCTACAGTAGCCGCCTACGATCGCACCTCCGGCGGAGATGTGGCGGTGCTCCATGCCCGCGAACTCCCCCAGGTCGCGGCGCAAGCCATCCTCCGATCCCCAGCAGTGTACCCTGTCATTGTTGGTTCGTGTTTTTTTTTGTTTCAGCGTGTATTGTTGTTCGTTCTAGAAACGTAGGCTTGTGACCACGGGAGGTGTCCACGGCGTTGGTTGGACTACATGTAGTACGGATACTAGAAGGTACTGAGCGGAAACCGGAACATTTATGTAGTGTAAAGAGAACAACAATAACAACAACAACAAGGCTTGGGTGTAAATAACAGGAGCACGACACGCGACTTTCCTTTCCCCCTTGGTTGGCTTGGCTGCGTTGACTAGAAGGGCGCGTGGCCTCCTGCTGCACGTTTCCCTTCCTCGGGGGAGTTGCTGCTTCTCGATTCACCGACCTGCAGAACGCACTCACCCACGCTACTGTACCACTCAAGGGTTTCATTTTGTTTTTTGCGAAAAATTTGGTGGGAGCGGTACCGAAGGTTCGGCACAAAGTCATGTACCGCTGCTCCGCGTTTATCCTCGGCATTGTCATTCTGCGACACCTACATACATCAACGTATTCTTGCCAAAACAAAATGAACCGGCACATAATACTTGTCCGAGAAAGGGGAAGGTGGCGCGCAGTTTTCGGATCGGTCAGTAAGTCTTCTTGTGGAACGTTTTTGGTGCGGGGGCGTAATGCAGAAAAACCCACATGCGGTCGGTGTCGATGCCGCAGGTGTGCTGACCCCCCGCGCTCATCTCCCTCCAGTACTTCCCGTCGGGCAGGTCGGGGATGTTCAGCTGTCCCGCATCCTACGATGCCCCCCACCAAGGGTTGAAGCATTGCCAGGCACACCACAAAGAAGACGTGGGGAAATTTCCCGTTGATGTAATGGAGAGAGGAGGGTGTTTGGAATAAATGTCAAGCACCACAGGAGGTAGAGATATCGGGCGATTTCATGTTATGGAGCGAGGGAAGACACCGAACATGTGGGGCAGGGCGTCGGTGCGCGTAATATTGTGATCAACCGCAAGAGAGAGTACCGTTCGATTGAGCATAAGCGGTAAGTGCAGCAAGAGCAAAACCGTTCAGCAACGTTGCGCGCCATCGTTATAACATTTCTACCGTGCAGTATTCCTCCGCAACACCCGCAGCCCCCCTTCCTGGCAAACAAAAGCCAGAAGCACGCACAAAAAAAAAAAAGGGAGGGTTGGAAGTACCTGCTCAGCCCCGTCATCGAAAGAAGCCACGCAGTACGCCCGGACGTTCTTGTTGAGCTTCTCACCCCCCTCGTAGTAAAGTCCGCAGACGTGAAACCCACCTCCGGAGATGGACAGGTGGTGCTGTCGGTTTGACAGGAGAAATATTAATGGGAGGCGGAATGGATGTTCCTGTCGCTAGATTTGGGAGGGCATGCGACTGGTTCTCTCTTTCTAAATGAGAGAGTTTCTCTTTCTCTCTTTCTCGCTCTCTTTCTTTTTCCTCCGTCTCCGTCTATGTCTCTGTCTCTGTCTCTGTGTCTGTGTCTATCTCTCCATATATATCGTTCGTGAGGAAAGGAAAGGAAAGGAAAGGAAAGGGTTCCAAGGTACCTTCAACCTCACGCCACTATCTTCGCAAGCGATGCTGAGCCTTTCGTCGGCGTTGGCGGTGGAAACAAAAGCACGTTTTCCTCCCACCGCGACAATACCACCACCGCAAGTCCGAGATCGCGACAATTCATTCAACCCCCATCCGCTGACCTCGTCCAGTAGTTTTCCCTCCAGGACGTCGAGGGAAGGCGTGTCACCCAGGGCGCCCTCCCCCCAGCACTCCACCCGCCCGGTCGCCTCCAAAACACCGCACGAGAATCTGACAAAAAAAAAGAACGACATCGCCAGTGTGTGTGGGGGGGGGGGGCAAGAGAGACGAAGCAGAGGCTGATCTTGACTATAATAGAGGCGGGAAATGTACGCATTAGGTGTGTGATCTGCTGTAAGCGACCGCGTCCTCGCTGTCCCCCATACTGTTGCTCTCCCTCCGGGGTCTACCGCGACACAACATGAGCTTGCCGCCCACCAACAATTGTAGGCGGAGTCTTCCCCGTAAACAAGACATACCGCCGTGAAAAACAGACAAGAGGTTCGAACCAGGTTACGACGCCAACGCTTTGCACACCACCAGCATCTACGAGTCTGAGCAAGCCGGTTTCGTAAGTAGCGCTGGGTCGATCGAGGCCACGCAGGCTCGCCGACCCGACATCCTATGTAGCAGTGGGGTGGTTGGGTCCTGTTCGGAGTTTTTAGAGGCCGGAATAGTTTGAAATCTGGGGAGTGCAACAAGTCTTGACGAACGGTACGGATCGCCCTGCCCTGGTATTATAGCGAGAGGCGCGGCGGCGGAAGAACCGACATTGTCTCACTCTCGGAACCATCTCCTCTCTCTGTGTTTAGATCTCATATCATGCTTTGTCAATCTTACCAACGTCTGCCGAGGAATATTCCACCTTATCAATTACTTCGAAGTATTACGGTACCACGCTTGACAAGGTACACCAATACCTTCTCCGAAATGGACGCCGTAGTATGTACGTTCCGTCCGCCTACTGTTGTATTATGGTTCTAGAAGAAATACTGACTTTCAATGAAGGCTGTGAATCGTACGCCTTCAGTCTACCCCCGCCACTGGGAACGCGGTCTCCCCCTCCCACGACACCACTCTGCCTCGTCAACCCAAGGGAGGACCCTCCCATACGCAAAATCGATAACAAAACAACATTCGCGTACGTACGGATGTTAGGTACTGAACGGAGACCGGAACGGTATTCAATATGTGTATAATATGTGAAGACAACAACAACAACAACAACAACAACAACGACAACCAGCTTATGTATGCATACTCGTACAAAGAGTGCGTAAGTAAGCTATAATGGGCAGCAGCACCAGTGGCAGCAGTAGGGCGCCCACGGTCGTATGCGTACCACAAAGAGATGCCCACAAAATAATATTTCTGCGGCCTTCACCCAGCCCTCTCCTCTCGGCGGCGCGTGACATTCGCTGCGAAAGATACTTTTGTGTTGGTTCGTTGTGATGGGCGACATACGCTCGAACATGGTTGCAACTCTGCTCGAACCTTTGTACGTGTAGGCACCGAGACGCAAGAAAGTGTGTTCGTTGTACTGCATACGCATACGTTGGTATGCATGTGTGTGTACAGCATAGGACATACATACAGACACAAGAGACAAGAGACGGATTCGGTACAATACACTGCTGTGAAGAGTCCCTTCCACGAAAAAATTCTTCCCAAAGAACGCGATATATATAGGATACTCCTTCCCATCCACTTGTAGTTCTACCTGTGCCCCCAAGAGAGAGAAACCAGGTGGTCACCCTCTCGGGGGGGCACGAAACGAGAGGGTGCCGCGGTGAAAGGAAACGGAGTCTGGCGTCAGGTAATAAAGAAACCAAGAAAACACAGGTGGAATAACAGCGGAATGGGATGGAAAAAATTCCACCGGCCTGGCCCGCTCCAACGTTTTCGAAAGGGGGAGTTGAGGGACTACGCGTCTGTTGCGGCCAAGGCATACACATCCAATGTCGTCGTGTTCCTTCGCAGCAGTTGTCTATTCCGCCACTGTGATGCCCTGCCCCAGCGCGCCGAGCTGTGACGATGACCAACCCGCCCTCATCACAGCTGGCGGGTTCGTGGCTGATTCAATTCCGATTCCCCGTTGCCCCGCCACAGCACACCAGACCACCAACCATGCCAACTGTGCGCCGCTCTGACCGCCTCTCCCTACAACCCTGCCATAATTGGAGAGAAAGCTCAGCTGCAGGCCATAAGGACAACATCTTGCGCATCCATGACCCCACAACCAACCCCCCAAGGTGCGAAACACGCACAGAAATAATACCAACGATGCTCTGATGTTACCACAAAAAAAAAACGACACCATCAAACAGCTTCGATGAACTCATCGATCACGCTCCGTCCAAAAAAGAAACTCACTCACCCTTGGCCCGCTGTCACCGACTCATAGTAAGCATCCGTGGAAGCACCCGCGAGCCATCCCGCGGTAGCCAAGGAGAACCAGGAAAGCTTGGTCATGGTCATTTTGTGGTGAACGCTGCGACGGATGATGGATGTGTGTTGTATGACATAAATACACAACAGATGGAGGCACCGAGCACCGAGAAAACGTGTCCAGATCCATCTCGCCGAACAGATTTGATTGATGTGAAGAGACACAAAAAAGTTTGACCTGAAGATCCACTGGATCCCACAAACCATGGATCCACGGTTAGACTATAAAACGACGCGTGCAAGCTTACAGCATGCGTTGGCGGCACACTTGTGCACACTTGTACGACGGCAGTGCATCGATGTGTCTCTCATACACATAAAGTATCTTGATCTGTGTGCCTGCTACGGTACACTATGGTACTCTTCAACTCTGCCTACTACGTACACTATATGGACTAAAAAAAATCTTCCTCGACTCGGGCAGCTCGACGCATGTCCAAAGGCAAATCGATGTACAGAGCAGTATCCAAATCATCAAACGGGTGGCCCCAATGTCGGCGTCCTACGCAGAGTATCGCTGGAGTGCCTCTAGTACTGGTCCCACATCCGTTTTTATTCGCTTCGAGACCATCCAAGAAGATTAAGACATGACAACAACAAGCAGTCTAAGGGCCCAAACCTGACTTGTCAGGTTCTCTTGCACTGCAGGGACTTAACCGATTGCTGTAGACAATATGTACCAGTACTGCTGCTGTATAACGAAAGCAACGTTAGAATGAGGATGGGCGCGCTCGTGTGCATGTCCACGTCTCGAAGTGCTTTGGGTCAGTTGTCCTCACCCGTAGTCCACGCGCTGGTTGTCGCTGTGGTCTTGCATCAGCCCGGGGGTAAGCCCCGGCCTCAACGGAAGTCATTTTTTTCCTTCAGTAGGGGAAGTTGGGGGTTAGGGTTACATAGTGTATGGGTATGCACGCGTGGTGTATGCACGCGTGGTGCAATCTGGACTACCCATTAAGAATAACTCACTTGTTGTTACTGTTGTGGAACAGCAGCTGTTGATGTTGCCTTGGGTAAAGGTAAAGGACTGACAATCGTGGGGAGGGACAGATCCGCCGCTCGAGCAGGGGCTGTCTAGATCTTGTCCCCTGTTTATCCTTCCGCGAGGAGTAATACCTCCCCGCACCTTATAGAAGGGGTCGTTGTCTTCTCTGTTCGCCTATGTACACATCTACAGTAAATCCTACAACACTAGCCCACCCTGGAGGTTCTCATACGTAGATGCTATTAAACCTCGGAGCTTAACAAGCGATTATCGAATCCCAAAATGAGATCGAGGATGTGGAGCTTCAAAACAACACAATTCACCCTCCCACACCTCTCACTCGATGAGTCGCAAGACCATTGTTTGACCTATTGAACAAAAAAAGGTACAGAAAAGAGCAGACTGAGGCTGACATATACAGCAGGTCGGGACCCAAAAGAAAGGGGAAAAGAAAACACAAAGAAAAGAATAAGCGTCGTCGGAACGACGTAAAGCAATCAAACGTCGGAACAACGAAAAAAGCGTCGTCGGAGCGCGACGAAAAGGCCTGTATCGACATACGATAACATACGCCAAACAATCGCCACGGTAACGTATAAGCGGCAACAAAGGTTACGAAACACCTACAGTCCGCAACCGCTAAAGACACACAGAGACGAAAAGAAAACGAAATAAAATCAATACAAATAGCAGCAGAGAGCACAAACGACCAAGTTAATGAGGGCGCGCGACGTCATCATCACGCAACGAAACGGTCACGACGCCGCCACGCGACATGTCGACGTTGCGAAGAACACCCTTAAAGAGGGCACTGCCGCTGTGAACTTGGAGGCACGAGGATCCGGAGACAGCGGTTTCGATGCGGGAGTACCGTGCATCGGGAAGGGCGAGCTTGACTGGTCCTGGGCCGTCCAAGAAGCGGACGACGTAGCAGTCGGACGGGAGAGGTGGTCCAGCGATTTTGCCTAACCACCAGAGTCTATCGTCCGTTTGTACCACAAGAAGGCGCCTACAGATAGAGGAGTATTGCCGAAACTAACGAGTAGCCCGAAGGCATGGCTCTTCCTTCTTTATAGCACCCGCCAATCCTCGGGTAGCCGCATCAATGCGCATCGCACGATATCGGCGATTCATTAGGCGATGTTGGTCGGGCGAACCTGTCCAGTACCGGAGAATGTGCGGCTGGAGTGCTGTTGATCTATCTCACGCTCCCGAGAAGGGTAAAGTAGGCCTTTTCAATGCATCTGGTATTAGACAGCCATAGCGCCACCACGACCACGAACTGACTGGTGTCTGCTAATGCGTTCAATCTCGAGACGTTCGGCCGGAGTCGACACGTCGTCTTCCGTACAAGGTGGTAGGGAGGATATTTGTTCGCATTAGAGTTCATCACGTATGGAGTATGACCGGCTGGCAGAAATCGTGGCAAGTCGTCGGTGTCATGCGGACTAGCGCAAGGCTTGCAACGCACCACCGACACAACGTTTCTTGGCCCGGTAGGTTCCGACGGGAGATCCAAGTAGAGCAGCTTGGACGCCAAAGGACGGTCGTCAGGGGCGTCAGAAGTTTGAACGGGCGTGTCTAGAGCAAAGAAAACCTCTGGACGAATACCTTGGCGGATGGTGGATTCGGAGTTGCCCAAACCCATTCACCACCTGTGTAGGCGGGAAGCTTACGAAAAAGCGTCCGAAAGAGCGGAATTTTTCCGCTCGATCCGCGAAACGGACAAGTTTCGCTGTTCACGCCCCAAGCCGTACGAACGACGTTGGCGATCAGCAGCAAGATCGCAACACTCAAGATAATCACGATTCAAGTTTTGGTGGCCGCGAGCATGGGGAGGCTCAACGACAGTCATCGCTAGGCGAGGCAATCCGTTCATGTGCACCTCATTGGGCGCTAACCAGTAGCTGCACTAACCGAATTGTTGTAGACAAACTCGACGTGCGGTAGATGGGTGTCCCAATCATCTTGTCTCTCGTTGACGAGTATAGACAACGTCTGAGCAATAGTGTGATTGACACGTTCCACACCCCCGTTGCAATTTTACTAGCAAGACGGCGTACACAGCCTGCGACGTTTAGAACAAAACTGAGAGCCGTTGTTAGACAAGAGACTCAACGGGCAACCTCACAAAGGGATTTACCGGTTGACAACGATATCAGCGGTGCCTTTGGCGGTATATTCTCCGGCCGTAACCGCGTCACGGCGACTGAAACGATCGGTCAAAAAAAGAGATTGTAAGTGTCTCCACGTGGTGTCAACGGAAGGGGGCCGAAGTAGTCGACGCGCGCCGACACAACGGGACCCGAAGTCAATGGAAGGCACAAGGTAGTCCACCGAGAAGTCTGACCAGATGGTTTGCGAGCTTGGCATCGCAAACAATTCCGCACCCTCCACTTCGTGCAAACACTCATGCCAACCCACCAATAGAAACGTTCTAGCAAGCTAAGCGTGCGAGCTGCACCGAGGCAGCAGGACGGAATAGGGTGTGCGTCCTCCCTCTCTGTTATTTTTCCTCTAAACTTGTCAATCTCGCGAAGACGGTCCGAGTCGGGTCTCCCACATTACTGGAAGTTATGCTAAACAAGCCCATGGGCGGCCAATGAGTGCCCTTCCACCGGAACCAGTGTTCTCCTAAACGATAGACTTCTTGCTCTGGAACGGGCACTATAACGGCCAATAACCCTAGCGCTAACCGTATCGCTACCCCAAGCCCTTACGATACGTGCTAGGTTAGCGCTGGGTGGCGAAGTTCTAGGTTGATATGCCGGTGGCAAGTTCTAGGTTGAAGTGCAGGCAGTGGTCAGTTCGTGGTCAGTTCGTGGGCAGTTCATGGGCTGCCAATGGGCCCACCCAAGGGCCGCTCATCGGCAGTGCGGCTCACGCGCAGTCCATGAAGTGCCCATCGGCGGCCCTTGGGTGGCCCATGGGCGTTTTAGCAAACCTACCAGTGGTGTGGGCGATTGTCCGAGTCATGGTCATGGCATGGTCATAATCGGTTCATGATTCCGTCATCGAGATGGAGTCACGACCTCGATCATGTTCTCGATCAAGCCAAAACCACATGACTCGGTCATGACTCTCGGTCAAAGCCTCCAATGTGCACGAAACAGCCAGCACTGAGGTCCCATGCCCCCCAACCGTTGCCCAAGCCGTCCTTCGGCCCAAACCAACAAGTGCTGCTGTGACATGCCCAATAATGAGGCCAACCATCCATCGTCGTATCTAGCTTGGGGTTTCGTCTACGCCACCGCTCGAAACGTTTTGAAAGCACCTCTCTGCATCTCTCCCGGGCGCGAAACCGCGATGATGTGCCCCAACGCCCCCCAGCTGTCGCGCAAGCCATCGTTCGCCCCAAACCGGCATGTGGTTACCGAGGTAGTTGCCCAGATATGCCTAAGGATGAGGCCGCATGTTGCCCTTCTTAAGAGGGCGTGCCTTTGCTGCCGAACTGTCGTCGCCGTGTCCGGGGGGCGTACAGTGGATGGTTGTTAGCTGAAAGTGCACTTATTCCGCACTATACACACGCATACGACGTCAAACGTGAGTGATTTCATACTCCCACAGGCCCACAAACGACCCGTCATACGTCATACCCACACCGAAGTCACGACCAATGACGAGGGCGAAGCCGTCCTCCGGGCCGTTAACACCCAGGAAGCGCATTGCTTAGAAAAGGGTGGCCTGGTTACCTACTGTATGTCCTCTCGCATTCTTGACTTGCCTCCAAGGAAGAGGCTATCGTTGTCAACGGGTGACTGTTGAACTCGCCCTGGTAGAAAAAAACTGGGAATTGGCCATCTTCGTATGCCCTCCGTCCTTTCGGGATGCTGGCAGGAGGATCAACGACTGCCTCGCTTGGATAGCCTCAACAGGAAATCCGTTCGACTGGTAGAGCTAGCTTTTCCTTCCGCAAAATCTTTGCTGAAACTCCCCATCTTAATGCTAATACCACCATGTCAGAAGGCGATGCTGTACGAACTTCACTCGAATTTCACTCCATGTTTCTCCACGTTCGGCAGGCGAGGCGCGCTGTCCATCTAGGTGATCCGCAGTATTTAGAGTATCCCCCTAGTGTTGGGGTGGCACACAATGACGGCCTAACGCACCGCAGATCCATCCAGTGCGTTAAGGTCGACAGGAAAATCAATCATCGATCAACCATTGGCGCGGGCAAGAAAATACTTGAACAAATACGTGGCGTGAATCATGTACATCAGGCCTCCGGAGACACAGCAAACGCGCACGTAGAGAGGAGCACGCTTGCCGACAGGATGAGGGAGGCGCTGCGTTGTATTGCTCATGCGTGGTGTGGTTCAGTGAAGCGGGAAGAGTGAAAATGCGATGAATAGGAAAGGAACCAACGCGGAACATTTCACAAATCGTGGTTCCGATATCCGGCGTGGAGTGAATCCTGCGGCTGGCAGCTCATTCGGGTCTTCGCCGAGGATTACACCTAGCCTCTTTCTTGTCACGAGCGGTAACAGGAACCGACCAACAGGCCCATCTGTTCGTATTGGAGAATACCTACATTACCGTGCGGCCGAAGGTCGGCTATTAACAATCAGTTGGGGCGGGAAAAAAAAATGTTTAGTGCGTCAACGTTTGGACTGTGTGAATGCTCCCTAACTTGATCCTACGGCTGACCCGAGTATACGCATGACCACAGAAATATGAGTATGCAGATGCGTACGGTTATTCAGAGTACGAGCAACAAAGAAACAAATGAACCCTTCACGTGCCTTGTATCATTTGGAACTTGATATCGCGATTCTCCAGGACCTCCCTGCAAGATATGTTCACTTCCTTGACAGCAACAGTTCTTCTTGCCAAGTGCCATGCCTGGGAGGAAAGCCTTTGCGGACCTATTTCAAGGTGTGGTTCACCCCTCTACCCCGAACACAACACTCCATTAAGGTGTCCAACAGAGAAGCAGCGTTGATTTTCTCTTCCCCTTCATCCATTTCTCGTCGCACTATTTAGAATGAACAGAATATTTCATTGACGGTGTGTCGTGTCATTCTTAGTGTTCCTACTCTGTCGAAATACTTCAACTTTCCAGTTTGGTTACGTTGACCAACAGTGAATGGTGTTCATGGAATTCATTGAACCATAACTGTTAAGTGGGCTTCGTTACATACAAGGGAACCTCGTTCATGTTTTCGTGTATTTTGCCCACCAAACAATGAACCTCGTTAGGTAAAACCACACACATCATTTTCACTCTACGTGGACCTCGTATTTCGATCACCCTCTTCACTTCTCCGCCTAACCATATCTCCACAAAGAACCCAAACTCGTCAACTCAAAAATGGTCGTCAAGGGAATGCTCTTCGTCTTACACCTCGGCGACAACACCAACGAAGCGTTCGTGAACACCGATAAGATGTTCGAGGGTGTTGGGTACCGGATTTTGAGTGGATGTGTCACTCCTGAGCTCGTTTGGCAAACGAACACGAAGCCAAACCTCCTTGCGGGAATCGAGGAGGCCAAGTACAGGGAAGGATTTCCCATCGACGAGGAAAAGATTAAATCGTTCTTGTGCTAGATTGGGACCAAATTTTACCGGGAGGAAGAGTGCGAAGGTGTACCCCCTCGGCGTGTACTCGATGACATACACTGTATTAGTGAACGATGGGATAAAATAGATATGGAAACATTCAAAATTGTACAACAAATGTGTCATTACTCACGTGGAGACCAATCACATTCGAGACGAGATACGAGGCGTCCACGTGTTGACACAGATCCGTAGCAGATGATTCCGACGGGCTCTCGCATGAGGAGGCGTCAGGAATATGATGACCATCCTGTCCATTCCCGGAACAAGCGTGAACCGTGAACCATGCGCAACAGTTTGTAGGTTGCAACGGCAAGAGAAAAAAAGGTACACACGGAGCGCCAGCAACTAACGCGTTCGCAGTCAGTTCGTTACCTATTCTACGAGGCGTCCCCAGGGAGCAAATACAGGAGGGGATACGAGCTATTTCCCCGAAATATCGTTGGCTCGGAATGAGCTGGCTGTACTTGAAACGCGATAACAAACAGGAGAGTAACTCTTAGAGCAAATAGAGGTTGATTTGACCCCAAGGAAATATCACAACACGCAAATGACCCCCACTCTGCACCGTCCCCCCGCGAACGTGGGTCCACCACCTCCCTCCGCCGCACAGCCAACAAGACTGATCGTTCGCGTCGCATCGACTTGGTCCTACGTGTGAAACGATCGTTCAGAACAATTCACCGAAGCTCCCTCCGGAGCCGGACAACTTATGTACGTGCAACGCCCAATAATACGTCAAAATGCCATCGATTGGCCAGAGGTTACCCGCCTGCATGAGCGAGAGCATGCGTACAGACACCAACGATCGCCCGTTTACAAGAACGTGACGATGTGGCGAAACGCCCCCTGGCTCGAACCGCCCAGGTTGGCCATCCTTCCGGCAATAGCTAGCAGCTCATCGTCTGCAAGCACCTGTAAACGCCTGACAGTGTTGGCGGACGACGCAGCCGTGGTCGTGCCGCCATCCGCAGACACTTGCTTGGCCAGGCGAGCTGCCAGCAGAACTACCGCGCACCTCTTCCACCAAAGCAGCTCGCGACGAATTTTGTCGCCGTCTCCGACGGCTGCTGGAAATGAGAAGGGGCGGCAATGTATTATGCGAAGCAAATAGAGAATCAAACACAAGACGTGAAACATGCTCCGACAGACACCTAGTTTCGCGCGGAGACGCCACGATCGTACAGACCTGTCTGTGGCGTGTGTTGCTCTTGTAGTACGACTGTGCGGTCGGAACAGGTGTATGGACGGTACGGCGGGGCAGCGGCGGAGCGACCGTGTGGGGCGTGTGTAAGTACCAAGTGCACGCGAACGATTCTCGCGCATACACACGATACAACTGAAAGCGCAGAGTTGACTCGCTGCTGTCCGATAGCCTGGCATTGATCTCCTCATTGGGTTACCACATCTCGCAGACCGATCACTTCTGCCGGAGCCTTGCCGCAACCAGCTGATTGCGGCAAACATGACTCGCATTCACAGGGTGCTTTCTCCTCCTCGTCCTGCTCCTGCTCCTCCTCCTCCCCGCCGGATTGTTTCTCCTCCGCCCACACGTCCGCTCCCCACCGAAGCAGCTCACGAACACACCCCAGTTGCGAGTAGCGACACGCTACGTGCAACGGTGTACCCCACCGCTCGAGATCATCACCCCGCCGGAAGTTCGACAAGCTATTCGCACCCGCACCGGCGCCAAGAAGTAGACGCAGGATGTCCACGCCCCGAAAGCGGGCCGCGTCATGGATCGGGCGAATTTTGACATCGCTGTCGACGTCGAAGTCTTGGAGCTCCCAGTCCGTTGCATCCAGGTCGGCCCCCTTGTCGATGAGAGCTGCACATATTGCCGTGGTACCACTGTACACTGCCGCTGACAGAGGGGGTCCGCGGGCTCCTGTGCGCAGGCAGTGCCCCACGCATCCTGCTTTCGAGTCGATCTTTGCTCCGCGACGAAGAAGGAGTTGAACCATTGCCGTCGCTCGCTCGATGTCGTCCTCGGAGGACAAGGCAGCCCCCGACCTCCAATCCGTAACCCACATTCTGCAGAGGGGAGAAGCGCTGGTGCGTCTTCAGACACAGCCAGCCGATCGGGGTAGCTTCGTCACACCCGTGGCTGTCGTAGTCCGTAGTAATGCCTTGCTCAATGTCTGCCCCGGCGTTGAGCAGAACCTCCATCACGCGGACGTCTTTCGCTTGGTGCAAGGCGGAAAATCCGTCCTGCCCAAAGCCGTTCACGTCAGCCCCCGCGTCAAGCAGGACGAGCGCCACATCTACATTTCCCTGTTTCGCGGCAGTGACCAGGGGAGGAACTTCGACATAACGGTCCTCGTAGATAAGGTTGACATCTGCTCCGGCCTCGGCCAGCGTACGCACCACCTCAAGGTGGCCGTTTTCCACTGCGAGATCCAGGGCGGTGAGGCGAGGTCCGCCCGTGCCGAAGGAGGCAAAAATATCCTTTCCCGCTCCCGCTTTCAAGAGAGCCTTGGCGACTTCAACACGCCCCCCGCGCGGAGGCCTCGTGAAGTGGAGTTGGATCTTCGCAATCTTCGTCACGTCTGGCCATGCTCCTGCCGCGAGCAGGACCACAGCTACTGACAGATGATCTTCCCTTGCGGCAATGTGGAGGGCGGTTGCTCCATCGCTGTATGAATAGCCTTCGCGATCGACTCTGGCGTTACGGTCAGCGCCGTCTTTCAGCAAGTCGGCTACAGCCACGGCGTCGCCGACACCGGCGGCGTCGTGGAGCGGTGCTGCCGCCGGCAAGGGCGTGTTCTGCGCCATTATTCCCCACTGCCCGCCTCTGGAAGAACGAGGGAGCATCAGGCACGAAATAGCGCAGGGAGGACGGAGCATGAAGGCTCTTTGGTTAATCGTATTGACGACAGATTGTCTCTGCAAACATGCCCACATGCGCCACCTCATATGGACCGAAGGGTACTTTGTGAGCGGCTCTTGCACAGGAAGTTCATGTTCAGTTTACCTTAACACGGTATATTGACTAATAGGGTAGGAAGGGGAATCATGTGGCTCAACCAAGGACGAACCTACCCTCTCACAATGTGGGGCTTTTAGGCAACAATTCTTCACATTCTCACAAGGTGCTTGGGAAACAAAAACGGGGGGGGGGGGGCAAGCGGGACATGTCGCTAATGCTGGCGGGTGGTGGTAACGACCCTCGAAGCTGAGCTAGACGCGGTCTGCTGGTATGAAGCATTAATTATCATTTTACTTCCATTGTGGAATTCTGTTCTTTTCGGGCTAGACTACTGTATACTTCTATAAGGTAAGTCTCTACGTAGGTCGCTGTGGATAGTGCTGTACTTGCTGTAATGAGCTCTTCAAAACCGTGAACATGATCTATTCATGTTCAACCGGGACAGATGTACTGGCGTGTGGTGTATGAAACAAGGCGGCATCCCGCCAAAGGGGAGATGGGGTGCGAACCTTCTCCGATGCTGGTACAATGGTGTGCTCACATGTGGCGACCAACCGGCAATCTCTGTGTATCTTTAACAACTAAACTCTCGATGATGATTATCGTGTTACTTTTTGTGGCGCGCGCTGGGCCGTTTCAGCTCTCAACTCTTGCGCAGATATGTAGAGATGGCTGAAATGCCAGCAGTACGTTTGGTTTGGCGGCGATCGGTGCCGGGGCCGTCGCTCAACGAGCCCTCTAGAGAACAGATAGCGCCCGCAGTTAAGAAAAGTTCTGTTAAGAAATTGAGGCTCAACGTTTAAAGAAAAATAAGAAAAACTGGCTAAGAAACACAACTTAATCCCGGCAACAACATAAGAAACGCCCCAATAAGAACCATGATGGTGCGATACCCCAAGACGTAAGAAACAAGAGGTAGCTGGGGGAGCGTGTCCAGTAAGAAAAGTCCCACTTCTGCTCCTTCGGTGCTCCCACCCTCCTACCTAGCTGAAGAGTGCATGTTTTGTTGTAGGGGGAGAGTGGTACTGCCACACATCGTGGACAACCACATGCTGTCCACGGTACGAGTTTGATGGCACTCACCAACGCCTCTCTTGAGGGCTTCATGACGTGGATTGTCCTTAGAGATCAAAAGGCAGAAATGAGAAAATCCGAAGTACTTCTAAGAAATAGGAGAATAAGAAACGCTTAGAAATTGGACGACTCAGGCTGGTCCTTCGACCCAAAAATAAGGGATTGAGGTTCGACCCGATTTTGACGTTTCTTTACTGCGGGCGATATCTGTAATAGTTTTCGAAACAACAAAAAAGCGTAAAACGGCGGGTGCGCGCACGAGATCGGCAGCAAAACTGTTGAGATGCACGATGACCACTAGACCACTAGTCAACGCTGACTAATGGTCTAGTGGTCATCGTGGATCTCAACACGAGCCGGTAGCCATGCTTACCGACTCTCCTGACTCTGGGGTACTAGCTCGAGCAACTCAAGGAGGCTCATAACCTGTCGAGGCAACAGCACTGTCACTGCAGTTGCTGTACAGCCATTCCTTCAGCTGTAGCTACAAAGTAGCTGGCATGTGATGCGAGGTTAGGCAAGCAAACACACAGCGTGATCTTAATGTCCACACAGACGCCCAAGCTGTCTTCACCTGACGGTTACAGACTTGGCAACGCCTTCACAATACCGCATAAACCCATGCAGTAGAATAGAGTCGTTCTTTATTGTCTTCTTTCGAATTGCCTTGATTAATATTTCTGTGGCCTACGGAGGGACACATCCCCCGTACCACACGTTCCGCACGGCACAAACCCTCTGCGGTATCCTAACGTGTCTCTTCTTCTAAAACACAAAATCTCCCTCCGAATACTACCAGACGGGACGAAACTGTTGCACAGTACCAGTCTCGGACGATTGAGCCTCCCAATGGTACGCACTACCATTCAGAAAACGCCCCAATGCTACGCCATACTTCTACGTGGCAAACGGTTGCACCAATTCCGAGTCACATAATTTTTAAGATGCCTCTCCAAGGTGAGCCCTACTCATAACATCTCCTATCTGTGGTACGAAGTAGGCTCGTTTCAGGGGCTGTTTGGACCTTATCCCCGCTTTCTCGTGTGTTGGCGTTAAGATGCGGCGTAATTAGCTATTCTCCGAGATGACGTATGTATGTGTTCGCATGAAGTTGGCTCTGAGTCGACCCCACGAGTTCAGAGAAGAGAGAGCTCCCGGGCAAGGGTAAAGGTCAAGTGGGCATGTGTTGAGTACCAGTTCGGTTGCAGAGATCTAGGCGGAGCTTGAGTTTGGCATGTGTGAGCGGGGATAGGTTAACAGCAACAGCAGTGTTGGTATGCATGCAGCTGGGTTGAGTGCAGCAGCCGCCGAGAGACGAATCAACAACAAGTTTCCCTCAACAGCTATCTGTCCGTTCCCTTCCTCGACGACACATCCGTAAAGTCTATCAAGCATCCATAAGAGACAAGAACCTCGAACCTAGCGCAGAACCCTGGTAGTGCAGAGCCGCACTGCTCTGCATTTATTTGATTGGGTAATTGGGTCATCAACAGAACCCGAAGTCCAAGTATCACATTGATTGGATAGTCCAAGTATCACATTGGCGTGTCGGCGCTTGTTTCTTCCCTGGGTGCGAGATCCGTTGCGTTGTTGGTTGTTTTCGGCTTTTGGTTTGAAGTACCGCTGTACCTGGTAGTCTCTTGCGTCTGCGTCATGGCCATGTGTACTCGAAATTCGGTTGTTTCCGGCTGTGCGACTTGTCGCGTGCCAGTCTCTCGTTCTGGTAGGCCCTTTTCCTTGGGCACGCCCATTGCCCGTCTCTCTCCTCCCTCTCCTACCGAATCTCCTGGGATTGGCCCGTCCGGGTCGTCACGGGGGATTCACCCATCTTGCCGGTTGCAGTACGACTCTTCGCCACGTGCGTCGTCTCCACGCGTCACCCCGCTGCTGCACAGCTCGGTGCTGTCGCCGCAGCCCGTCCTGCTGCCATGCGCGGTGCTCGCGAGGAGATTGATACCGCCCTCTCCATACGAGGACGTGTATCCGCTGGCGTTCGGGCCGTTCCGCGATCCGATACCGAGATGGTAGGTGAGACACCCTTCTTGCTCTGGGAAATAGGACGTCGACACCAAGAGTTTCCGCCTCTTGGTGACGGAATCGTCGGAACCTTGCAGTGGTGGGGGCGGGCGGAAACCGTCGCTACCGCCGTCCGACTCGTCTGGTGATTTCCGACCTTTCTAGTGCTGAGAGGGGCGGAGAACCGTCCACTGTAGTTCTCGACCTACTTTGTCGGACAGTAGTAAAACACCGGCGAAGCTACCAGTTTGTGTAGCTCCGAAACCCGAGCCGACTCCGAAACCCGAGCCGACTCCGAAACCCGAGCCGACTCCGAGTCCGACAGACCGAGTGCACAGTACGAGGTTGAGTGTAATTAGCTTAGCCGAACAGGTCTTGTGTCCTGGAGTCGTAGGCGATAGAGACGAGGGAGCTGTCCGCTTGATCCGTGGAATCCCAGCTTGCCCTCCTACGAAGAATTCTGCGGCTCAAAACCGGCCTGAACACCGATCCGAAACCGAACTCCGATCCGAACGTAGTATAGACAAACACGGGAAGCGGGGTGCCACGAGAAAACCGGCGTTAGAGCCAGCGCCGGCGGTTGTGAGCCCATCTCCCCGGGGTAGTTACTGCGGAGCGAGCGGCCACCGCGTTGACGAGGCTTCCAGTGATTGCCGCAATACCCACTAATCGGTTGGGCGACAACGGAGTAGAAGAAGAGAAGAGTTGTTCCCCGCCGTCGGCTTCCCCGTTGGCCGATCTTGTAGATAGTGAAGCAGGCATCGCCACACCAGCGGCCGTGTCTACATCTAGTACACCGGCATCGCTATCCGCCCGCCCCATTCTATCCGATCGGGCGAGTATACATCTAATCTCATCCGCAGGGGCGGTACGAAAAAAATAACAACGATGGCCGAACAAAGAAACACAAGAAAACAAAAACAAAATCCGTGGTGGGCCCAGCCACTTCCAGTTATTGATGGCCAAGGTGTGTGAGGGGTTGGAGCGTGTGCAGTTGTATCTGGATGATATCGTGGTGCACTCAAAATTCGCAGCAGAGCATGTAGTGCATTTCGAGTAATTGTTGGAACGGTTGCGCATCCCCAATCTGAAACTCGCTCCCAAGCAAGCGAAAGTGGGTGCCGCCGACGTGGAAATTTTGGGGTATTTCATCACACTAACTGGCCTCGCGCCTGGGTGTGGTAAGGCTGCGGCGATGAGCTTGTGCCTATGAATAAGAACCAGCTGCGTTCCCTGTTGGGCAGTTTTTCGTATCTCCGCAAGTTTATTCCTAACTTGGCCACTCGAGTGCGGGGTCTCAACGAGATGCTAAGAAAGAGACAAGGAATTTCGGTTTACGACTCAACACGAAGAAACCACTAGAGCGATTCCCAAACAGTTGATGAGCACGACAGCGTTGGCGTTCCCCGACTATGAGGATGAATCGGGGCCGAACCGCCTCATAGAGGGTGACCTAGAAGTGTACTTTGTGGGTGCTGCAAATTGCCTGTCCCCTCTCTTGGACTTGCAATTGCCGCCTTGCTCCCACGAGGATTTGGGGTCGTTTATGGAGCCCGTAGATCCGTTGACCACCGCTGAGGTCGCGCAGAACCAGTGGAATCTGGCTGTCCGATCCCGTCAACGCGGCGTCAGTACCGTCAGGTATCAGGCGCCGCGGGTCCTCGCTATTAACCCGTCTCCCGCCCCTAGTTCCGCTCCCGTTTCCCATCGTATTTTCAGTGGTCAGTTTCAATCAGGTGTTCTGCTGCACGCGTGC